AAATTAATTAAAGAACCCCCTTTTCTGCTGCTGGATGTTTGCCCAGGGTGAGACTGAAGGCACTGGTGTCTTTGGGTGGCATTTCTGTGAGAGCAAGGGTAGCCCTGGTGATGCACCATGCTGTGCCACGCTGTGCCCTGCTTGCCATGCCACACCACTCCATACTGTGCTGTGTCATGCCATATCAAGCTGTGCCACACCATTCCATGCTGTGCTGTGCCATGCTGTGCCATTCCACGCTGTGCCAAGCCATGCCCTAGCACTACCCCTGCTCCAGGATCCAGGCTGTGACCAGGGGGTTGGGACATGCCAGCCCCGTGCCTGCTGGCAGTGTTCAGCTTTGCCACTGTGGTGCTGGAGGGTACTGGGGGCTTGCATTAGCTGTGCCAGCCCCTGTTCAAGCGCCCTGACAGAGCTGTCCTGAGGTCTTGGGCTACTCCACATGGAGCTCAGACACACTGAGGGACCCTCTGGGGTGACAGACCCTTTGTCCCTGTAAAATCCTGCAGCAATTCCTTTGCCACCAGCAAGTACCACCAGTGGGTGCCAGTGCTGGTTTGGGGTTGCATCAGATGTTTGGGGGTCACATCAGATGTTTGGGGTCGCATCAGATGTTTGGGGGTCACATCAGATGTTTGCCCCTGCAGCTTTATCAGCACAGCCTCTGATCTGCTCAAACGGGTGGGGCCGGGGCCGGAGCGTGTCCTTCCCCAGACCGAGAGCTGTGGAATCGTGGTGGGGAGTCCGTGGGAAGAAGGAAAACAAGGAGATCTCACTCCATTACATCTTCACCCATCCCGCCCTGGGCACAGGGAGGCCGGGCACTGCCAGCTCCACACCTGGGCTGGCTCTGCTGATCAGCCCCGCAGCGATCGCGCAGCTGGAGCCTGCAGGGATCGGGATGCTCCGAGCGATGGGGACAGAGAGCAGCGCCCGTTCTGCGGGTCTGCGGGGCTTTGGGTGGGCTCTTGCCTGCTGAGTGCTCCCCACCACGTCAGGGTGAGGGAGCCAGATGTTTTCCACATCCCCTCCTTGCCTTCTGGCCCGGATTATGCCAGGACTGCATCTGGATGGGGCCGAAGGTGTGTTTGACCCAAGCACGGCTGAACAGGGCTCGTTTGCCCCAGGCCTGGTCGGAAAACGCTGCTTTGCCCCACACACGGAGCGAAGGAGCAGGCAGCGTGCCCAGGCCACTCCCCAAGAAGGGGACGCTCCCAGGGGACTCAAGGGGACCCCTCTCTCCCTCCTTCCCACGCTGCTGTCCCGCTCAGCTCCAGCTTGTTTTCCAGAGAGGAAACCGACAACCTTGCTATTATTATTTTTTTTTTCCTAAATTTTTTGTTTTGTTTTGTTTTCTATTTTCCTTTTTCTCCCAGTGTGAGCGGCGGGGCCCAGCTGGGGGGCAGCGGTGCCGGCGGGGCCAGGTGCCGGCGGGGCGGCGCGGGAGGTGCCCGCCGGCCGCGGGGGGACAAAGCCGGCGGCGGCCCGCGGTGCTCGCGGCCGCACTGTGGGAGCGACGAGGGGATGGATGAAGGTCACATCCTGCCACTCTTCCGATGCCCGGCACCAGGAAAAAGCTGCGCTTTGTAAATATAAAAATAAACAACAAACTCTTCCCCCCATTTACCACCTTTCCCCCCCTCCGCCCCAAAGAAAACAACAGCCCCCGCGGCATCGCAGCCACCTGCTCGGGGAAGTGATTTTTCATATAGGCAGGAAACGGGGGTCTAATTAAATCTGGGGTCAAGAACATAAAGGGAGAACGAAGTTTATTTAGGAGTCCTTGAGGAGGGTGGGAGGGAGATGCTCAGCAGGACTGTGGGGGAACCGTACGACGGTGTTTTGGTGGGGCTGGGGGGGAACCTGGGGGTGTTTTGGCCCCAGGGTGAGTGGCGGGGCATCACCTTCCTCCTGTCAGCGGGTCCAGCGTGCCACAGGGACAGTGGTGGCAGTTCGGTCCTCACCAGGGCAGGGATGCTCTGGGGGACTCCCCACTCTCCCTATCCCCCTGCGGGTAGAGAAAGGAACCCGGGGAGCGTCACGCTCAGACCTACAAGAGTGTCCCCAAGCCTTCAGCGAGATCATATGAGGTTCCTGTTTCACAAGACGGAGGATGGCATTTCCATTGTGCTCGCCGGGGATGTGTTGCAACGGGGCAGCCGCTTCCATCCTTTGTCCTCCTCCCCGCAGAGGAGGAGTCTCAGCCTCTGCCAGGGTGACCCGTCACACCCTGCCGCCCCCCCCCCAGCCACCAAATTTGGCTCCACTGGCCGCGGCAGCCCTCCTCGGCGGGTCCCGTCCGCAGGCATCGCCCCACCGCCGGCGCTCTCCAAGGGCTCCTCCTCGCAGCCGCCGCGCTCGGTGCCCTCGGCCGGGGTCCCCACCAGGTTAGGGACACTCCAGGAAGGTGATTCCCACCTCGAGCCGCTCCCAGCGCCGACCCTGGGGTGCTCCAGCTGCCTTCCCCTTCCCGCTGCGGGGCTCCTGCCTGAATTTCACCACCAATTAATAAACGAAGAACTGACCCCACCAAAGCCCGACTGGGGAGCCCTGGGTGCTGGCAGCAGCCCCAGCTCCCGGGGTTGATGCCACCACCCCAGCCCCTCTCCCATGCCCGCAGGGGGCAGCTTCCAGCTTTTAGGAAGCACTGCAAAGACCTTTGCCTTTGGGTCGGGTGCTCCCAGCCCGGACCCGCTTTCTATTCCTCAGCTGGGGTGTGCCGAATATAAAGTATCACAGCATTGTTATGAAAAATAATTCAAACCCACCAAAAAGGCCAGCAGCGGATGGAAGGGTGAAATCGGAGCAATCCGGGCTGGCTGTAACCCTTCGTGGGCAGGGAAGGCAAGGCAGGCAGGGGACCGGCATCCACATCCCAGCCCTGCCGCTGGTGCTTGCAGGGGTGGAAGGGAAGGTGATGGGCTAAAAGTGTCCCAGTGCAGACTGTAGGCAGGACAGGGAATGGTTTCCCATGGGAAAGGGGGAGCTCGAAGCTGGGGGCTCATAAAACAGCTGGATTTTTAGACAGGCTAATTTAGGGATGCTGGGGAGCGCCCTCATCCCCAAATTCCTGCGTAAGGATGGGACGTCCAACCTGGGCACCCGGGGGCTGCCCATGCCCACACTGCAGCGGGGCATCAGGTCCCTTCCGTGATCCTGATGGGACGCAGGTGCCACCCACCACACTGGACGCGTGTCCCCTCCCTGCCACCAGCATCCCGCCGCCGAGCCGGGCACCGGGAGCGGCGCTGGGGACGGGGACGCGTCCCCAGCCTCGGGCCTCGCTCCAGCTGGGCGCTGTTTTGTAAGGACTCCTGGGCCTCTGCGGCGCAGAGATAAGCCCAAGAATTCGCCGTCAGTTCCAAATATCCCGTCCGCTTCCTCCCGCCGTCCTCGCCGCCGCTCCAGCCCGCTTGTCTCATTTCCGCAGCAGCGTGCTGGGGAGCGCTTCCTGTTTTCCCCCCGGCCCCGGGGCGGCGGCGGGGGGCGAGGGGCGCGGGGAGGAAGGGCAGGACAATGGGCGCGGGTCGGCACGGGCGGCTGCCCATCGCCCGCGATGGGGGCTCCTCGCTGGCCCGGGATGGGGAAGGCGGATGGCAGGTGGCAGCAGCGGGGACGTGGGTCCTGGGCTGAGCTGAGATTGCGGATGGGGTTTCTTTCTTTTCCTTTCCTGATTTCTTTTTTTCTTTTTTTTTTTTTTTTTTTTCAAGAGCTTTGCTGTAAATCAACCCAAGCTCCCTAGAGAGCATCGTCTCTGTACCGCAGTGGGAGCCTCTGCTTCAGCTGGGCATGAGGACAGGAACGAAGCTGGGTGGGGCACAGCCCTGGGTGGGGGGGACCCTGCCCTCTATGGGGCAATGAATCGCCCCCCACAAATCGCGTTTTAGGGTCCCTCCAGTCAAACCACCCACCACAACCCTCTCCTCCCCAGCCACAGCATGGGACAGCAGCATTCCCACGGGGCTGCCACCTCCCAGGAGCAGTGTCACAGGGCAGGAGGTTAGGACGTGGCTATCCCATCCCAAACTACAGCTTTGAGACAAGAGAGGTCCATTTTGGATCTCTGCTCATCGGAGCTCAGCAACCTCCTGCTGCAGGTAGGACCACCCAGTGGGCAGCCCTGTGTCCCCCTGTTTTTGGGGCTCCTGCCCCGTGCTCCTGGGCTGAGTGTGAGTGTTTACTCGGTGCCTTTCTCACCGCTCACAGCGTGGCAAGAGTTATTCAAAGGCAGGCGGAAGCGAGCGCAACAACTGAAACAACAATGAAAAGGAAACAGAGCTCGAAAAATTCTCCGTTCATAAATCAACTGAACTGCAGGTGATCCCTGGGCAGGAGCGAGCTGAGGAAGAGACACGGCTCGGCTCGGCATGGCCAGCAGCCAGGCAGGCTCCGGCCCCCCAGGCAGGGATGGGGGAGGCCAGGATTTCCCAGGGTGGTCCTGAGTGATGCTGGGGTCGGTGTCCATGTCCCCAGGGATGCACATCAGGGACTCTGAGGCAGGTGAGGTGCAAGCATTTCTGGATTTATTTTTATTACAAGTTTTTATTATACATCTGGGTGAGAAAGGTGAAGCTGTGCTGGGTGGAGTGGGTTTGTGGGGTCAGCATTGCACGCACACGCACAGGCACACACCTCCTTTCCAGGCCAGAGGAATGCAAAAAGCCCAGGGATGTGATGGAGTGCCACAGCCCCTGGTGGCCAGCAGAGTGGGGAGATATGGCAATTTTGGTGCTTGAGGGGTTGCAGAGCAGCCCCATGCTCTTTATTCATCTACATGCCTGTCTTTTTGGGTTGAAATTCATCACTTTGGAAGCAGAGAAACCAAAAAGGTGTGGGCAAGCATGGCTCCAGTCTGTGGCTGTGCCATGGGAGATGCTGGGGTTAACAGGAGATGATCCAGGGCTCTCGGCAGCTTCAGGCCAAGGCTCCTTGCTGGGATCTCATAAAGGCTTTTTCCTCCTTAGGAAATAGAGCCGCTGGATTGGGACGAGCTCCTCAGTGCTGGCAGCATCTCCACACGGGCAGGGGATGGGCATGGTTAGAAAAAATCTCCCCCTCCTGCCTCCAGTTGTGTCCTGCAGCATCTTGCTGCAGGCGGGATAGGGGCCAGTTTGGACAAACCTAGCTGTCCCCTCTGCCAGCTCCTGTATGCTAAGACCCAGTCCCGGGGACACCAAAAGGAACTTGTGCTTTTGGGACCAGTGGATGGCCCCAAGGACCAGGCTGGTGGCAGCGGGCTGACCTTACAGCAGAGGAAATGACCCAGTTGTGTTCCCCGCAGTGGGAAAGCCAGGAGAGATTGCATGTCCCCCTCTGCTGCTATCTGTCCTCCCTCCTGTGAATTCACTGTCATCTTGTCTTTTGGCAGAGCTGGAAAACTGGGAGACCACCGTAAATAAATCCTGTGTCTTTAAGCCATTTTGTACAGTACAAGAAAATGCACTCGTTGAATTACAGCTTTTTAATCAAATACATGTAACCATGTCACTTAAAGTGCTCGCGAAAAGCAAGGAAAAAAAACCCCAACACAATTGGAAGAGCACGATATTAAAACCAGCTGCCTGCTTACCCCCACCACAGTTAATAGTTTTTGAATGTTCTGAATGAGAGAGAAACCAGAGCCAAGCTCCACTTTCATGTCCATCTTTCTGATCAAGCCCTGCCAGACGGGGGGAGCCGGGCAGCCTGGCACAGAGGCGCGGGATGCGGGAGAGCTGCACTCCCTTGTCCTGCTGCTTTGCCCATCCCTTTGGGCTTTCTCGCTCTGGTGATGGGATGTGGGAGCCCATGGTCCTCCTGCAGGCAAAGCAGCTCTGCCTGCCTGGAACCCAGCCTGGAGATGGGAGCACAGGTTGCCCAAGCCATGCAGAGGTGAGGGATGCTGCTCTGAGACGTCTCCACCATGTTGTGTGTCCCCTCCTGACCAAATTTAACCCAATTCTACCTCTTGATGATCCTTCCTGCAAGTTGGCATCACCGCTTGTCCCCATGAGGCACTGCTCTACCCACAGCACCCCTTCCTCCGAGCATGCCAGTGCAGTCCACGGTGTCACATCCCCGTGCCCCGTTCCTTTGGGACACACATGCCAGGACCTCCTCAATGCCTGCCTCCGGCCTCGCTGGCCACCGACCTCCCGCCCGGCACAGCCTGCCAACCACCCTAGCTGTGCAGTTCCCCCGCAACGTGGACCAATGCTCATTAAGCATGAGGCAGAGACCACCAAATATGTCAAAACACACTTAAAATTTATTGTTTCATACCATACGTTTGAGTCTCTTGAACGCCGGCCAGTGTTTCTCCCTCTCCGCGATGGGGCCTATCTGCTGTCACCGACGCTTTGCGTATATGTATAGCCCGCTTGCTTGCTGGCTTTTCTTTCCCTCCCCCTTCTTTCTTTAAATGCAAAATACAAACAATTGATGGAAAATGTACATTTGTTCCATATGGGACGGTCGGAGTGTGGAGAGGAGCCAGCAGAGGCATTTTTAGGCAGACTCCTCTCTCCAGCGGATGGCTGGATGGCTTCCCAGAACGGCCCCGCGCGGCCTGGCCTGACTCTCCTGACGAGCTTCAGACGCTCTGTGACGCTCCCACGATGGTGGGGGGGACGTGATTCAGTTCCCTGAAGGGATCAACCTCCCTGGGCTGCCGAGCACAGGAGGAGGGAGAGGCTCCCACCAAAACCGCTGCAACATCCCAGCAGGGTGGAGCTTGGCTGTGCGGGAGGCGATGGGGAGACTTGCTTTAGAATTTGCATAGGAAGTTGAGTTAGGCTGGTTGGGTTGCGTTGGGTTAGGTAGACTCAGTTGGATTGGTTGGGTTGCATTGGGTTAGGTAGGCTCAGTTGGGTTGGTTGAGTTAGGTAGGCTCAGTTGGGTTGGTTGGGTTGCGTTGGGTTATGTTGGGATAGGTTGATTGGGTCCTTGGGATAGGTTACATTGGATTGAGATTGGTTAGCATGGTTTGGTTGGGTTGGATTGGCTTGGCTGGGTTAGGTTGGGTTGTGCTGGCCTGGGCTGGGTTTGGCTGTATTGCATTAGGTGGATTGGGTGGGTTGGGTTAGGTCATGCTGTGTGGCTCGTGTTGGGTTGTGTTGTGTTGGATTGGATTGGACTAGATGACCTCTGTAGAACACTCCCAACCCTTCCATGACCCTTTGGCCTCCTGGAACCTCACAGCATTGCTGAATCACCTCAGAAGAGAAGCACAAAGTGGTTCTGACAGAGGCTGTGGGGCTCAGCCGGCTCAGAGCCAGTGAGGAGGGGTCCCTGAAGTCCCTCATGGTTCACACAATGAAGCCCAAACTTATCTCCTTCACAGGGGCCTGTCCTCCTCATGGAGACCCCAGCACGGTGCTGGGTGAGCAGATGTTGGTGGGGGGCTGGGGGCTGAGGGTCTGGGGGCTTGTGGTAGCTCTAAGTCAGGGGAAGGAATGTGAGGGCTGGTGGGGGCAACGCTGGGAGCTGGGTGGGACAACCAAAGCTCCACGAGGGATGTAGAGGCTGAACTTCACAGCAATAAAAGTGCTGAAGCATTTCAGGCTGCACAGATTTCCTGGGGCACAGTAAGGACTCCTTGCTGGCTTCTTTTATTTTCTTTTGCAAAACCTATAATTTTTATGACACCCCAACTCCTGTTCCCTGCAGGCAGCTGCCCTCCCCTGCCTGCAGAGTATTCCTGCTGCCAGGAGCAGAGCTGGGGCGGGCACCCAGCCTCATCCGAGTGTTCCTGCTGCCCGGCAGCTCTGGGCATGGCAGAGGAAACGGGGCCTTTCCTGTCTGCAAGGAGCACTGAGATTTCCAAACATTTCCTTTCCCAAACTGAGCTGCAAAGAAGAAAGTTGGGGAAGGCTTGGGAACTTTGCTTCTGCTTGGCCAGGAAAGGCTGTTCTGGGAACATTTGAAACCTTTCTTTGCATTTCAACCTTTTCTCTTTGGTTAACCTCCCACCACAGAATGCTGTTACCTCTCTAAAGGTTTTGCCTCCTGTCTAAAAAAACCTGAAAACTTTTTTTTCCAATGCAGTTTTTCTTGAGTCAGGAAATGTTTTGGAGCTGTTTCCCACAAACAGGTTTGGTTTTGATAATTTTTTTTTTCCTGAAAGAGGGGGAAAAATATAAATCCCATCACTTGGTCTAAAGCAGCTGCCTGGTACCACAGTGAGGAACCAGCATCAGCAGCATGCTCCTTTTCCCAGAGATGCCCCCACGCTGAACACACAAAATACAGGGATCAAGAGGCTCTAATTCCCTGTTCATCCCAGCCAGGATGACTTCACCAGGGCTGTTGTGTCAGTGTTCCCACCCCGACGGTGAGCTCTGGCCTGGGATGCCTGGGGCTGCCCTGGAGCTGTTGCTTGCCACCCTGTACATCCCCTTTGCTCCCGGCTGTGCCACAGCCTCAGCCTTGGGAACAGCGAGCCCGGAGCTGAACGCTGCCGGGCTGGGCTGGCTGGCACATGAGGTTTTAATATTTGGGTGGGTGATGTCATCGAGCGCTCCGTAACGCTGTAAAAAATCCAGAACGTCTATAAAGCTGATCTGTGAACCTCCAGCAGAACACACACACACACACACACACACACACGGATGTGTGCACATGGACATGCACATGGACACATGGACATGGACAAACACACGGGCACATGGAGGGCTGCATACATGGAGATGCACACACACACATAGATGCACCTACAGCTGTGCACAGACATAGCCATGGAGAGATGCACGCGTGGATACACACAGAGGAACACCTGGATGCACGTGCAGGCTCAGACATGCAAAGGGACAACAAAAAAGATGCACAAAAAGGAGCAGCACACACGTGCAGAGGTGCACACCCATGCACAAACACAACCCACCCAGATGCAGACGCACGGATATCCAGGGATGTGCACGCACGCACACACACACACACACACACACACATGCCTGCACACGTGGATAATGCATACAGGGGTGGATGTGAGCATGGATGCGTGCAGTGGTGCAGGTACAGCAGGTGCTTGCACACCCGTTCACACTGATGCACACCAATGCTTGCACACGTGCAGGTTTGCACACGGATGTGTTGGGACACACGCACAGTTGCACACAGGTAGAATCCACTGCCCTGCACCCCCAGGGGACACAAAGCAGATGTCACCTGCCCAAAAAGCCCAGGTAGGACCTGGCATCGCCTCCCCCTCTCCCTGCATCCTGGGAAAGCCGGCAGGATGGGCTGTCAGGTTTTCCATTTACCTGTCAAGTACCTTCTCCATATTCCTGCTGTAACGACCTGCTAAAAGCCCCTCACTCCTCCTCCCCAGCCCAAAACCATCCGGCCTTGAGCTTTGGAGAGATTAAGTCATAAAAATCGGAAGGGGCTGTGCAGTAACAGCCCCAGCCTGAGCCATAACGGCAGTGAAATCATCCTCAAACTATGTCAGCTCCAGCTATTTCCAGTCCCACGTCACACCTGAGCCATTGGCATGCAGTGAAAGAAAACACTGGGGGATGGTTTCCTGACCCCAGAGCAGCTGTACGGGGACAGGAGCAGGGGAAAGATAAAAATAATATATATATGTTAAAAATATATAAAAGTAACATATTAAAAATATTGAAAAAAACAAATATACAAAAATATAAAATAAATCCCAGTGTATAAAAAGAATAAATATAGATGCAGATAAACAGATAAACATAGAACTAATATATTAAGATATTAAACAAGACATAAAATTATAGAAAGAATATGTAAAATAAGTGGTGTGGTTAAAGCCCATCAAGGAACCCACACCTTCCCAAGGACCCAGCGCCTCTCCTAAGTTCATCTGAGCCCTCTGCCCTCTTGATGGAGCCAGATCAGCCCCTCTGCCACTAGTCTCATCAAACCCTGCATTTGGAGGCGGACAAATCCTGCCCTGGCCATGGCTAAACCATGAGGCTGCAGTAGCGACTGTGGAGAGGTGGAGGTTTTTTTCCTCTCTCCCTTCTCTTTTGTTTCCCTGTGACCTGGGGTAGGGCTGGCCAGCGAGGTGGGGCTTTTACAATGGCTGTGGTTTCAACCTGGTGCATCCTTGGTGCAGTTATGGATGCCAATGACCATCCATTGCAGCTTTCATACCTGCTGTAGCCCCACAGCAGCATCCTGGGGCATGAATCACAGCATGGTTTGGGCTGGAAAGATCCTTAAGAGTCATGAAGTTCTAACCCTCTGCCATGGGCAGGGACATCTTGCACTAGACCAGGTTGTTCCAAGCTCAGTCCAACCTGGCCCTGGACACTTCCAGGAATGGGGCATGAGCAGCTTCTCCAGGAACCTGTGCCAGTGCATCACCACCCTCATTCTAACTTCTCATATCTAATCTAAATTGACCCTCCTTCAATTGAAAAACCATGGTGAGCTGGCACAGCCTGAACCACTGGGAAAG